GCGCGCCGTGGAGCTGTCCAGATGAAACAAAATCAACCTCATTCGGCTGTTTTGAAAATGATTCCCTTTATTTGGCTTGGGCCGGGCAGATCCACCTCGTTTGACATGAGGGGGATAAAGGGCCGTCTCACGCTCAGGTTCATTTCCCAGAAACATTATTTGTATCTGCACAGCTCTTCCTCTGTGCACTCCAGCTTCTTTCATCAACAGGTCTTAAAAGGTCTCTAGACAACATGAATGAAAGATGCAATTCAACCTCCCTTTTCCCCCCCTTTTTCCCTTTCGACCTCCTCAACAGTACAATAATCTTCAGTCACTCGTCTCCTCCTCTCCATTGCCGGGCTGTGTGTAGCACCGGAGTGCTGCTGATTAAGCCAACAGAGAGACAAACAGGAGACAAAGTCCCAGCCCACCAGTTTAGTTTCACATCCTGGACTGGAGCTGGGGCTGCAGCTTGCCAAGTGGAGGGCTTTTAAACTGGGCTAAACACTAATTGCTGCCCTATTTCTTTTATGTTGCTTCTTTCCCATCTGCGATGGCGCTTCCAGACCTCCACAGCAGCCAGAGCCTCATTATAGCAGACAGTTAACAAAGGCTGGGAAACAGGAGCGGAGAATTCACTTAGGATAGCTATCTAACCGCCAACTATGAGGCCTGCTCGGAAAATTGAATCAATGACAGGGGCCGGCTTGCGATAAATCCTTCAGGGATATTAAGATATTAAGATTTTGGAAATCTTAATTATTCATCTAAATTCTTGAGACTCGCTTTGATAACTGGGTAAGTGGTTTGTAGGACCCGGCTTCCCCCTTGGACTCGCAAACTACAGTCTAGGGTTGTGTGTCGGATTGTTTTTAAGTAACTTCTGTTCTTGAGAGCGCTTTAAAAAAAAAAACAACCCAAAAATCTATGACATCAGTTTTTGTTACACAAAGAATGTAAAACACAGAGTTGTTGAGTGAAGCAAATGGAGGTATGATTGCCATTTCTGCCTGATCTTTCTCTTTTCCCCCTCTGGTTTAATGGTTGTGCTCTTCGTAAGTGTGTTTTGTGCGTGCGTGTGTGTGTGTGTGTGTGTGTGGAGTGAGAGGGGGGGACGGGGAGTGAGAGTAAAACCAAATGAGAGAGACGTCGAGGAGATGAATAAGAGGAAAGGATAAAGCGGGAGGGGAATGAGATTGCAGAGTCAAAATAGAGTTGGGGGGGGTGAAATTGGGGGATAAAGGGAGGAATGGAGACAAGGTGGGGAGGTGTGGTCAGCAACAAAGCCTCACGTTGCCATGGAAACCTGTTTATTCCTCACTGATGTATCGTGTAGATCCAATTAGAGACTAATTGCGTCCGTGTCTTCATCGCCACAAACATGTGTACCTG